TGGAGGACAAAGAAATATAATTTTTGTAGGCTTGAAATATACACTTTAGAAAGAAAAAAAAAATTATGCTACTAGTACACCCAAAACATCTGTAGCATGCTTGGATTTATAAATAAAGTATATATATGTTAAAAAATTTTATCTCTGTTCAGATCAACAACTTGGTCATCACCATTCAACAGTCTTGGTGAAATTATTATTTTCTCTTCCAAGCTATTTACAAACAACTGTCAGAATCATGTAAAACACAACTTGTTCTTTCTATTGGTTATAAATAGACCCTTAAAAAAAGTAGGTGGAACTAAACAATAGATTTGGAAAGAATGGGGTAGGAGGAGGTGCCACTCTAGTTGATTTGCTAGATACATTGATTTCTCAGCAAATCAAAGTAGTGGGAGGTTCTAAGTATATATTCTAGCTTGACAGTATCTAAAATTCATGTTTCTAATTGAGATGCATATATTAGGCCTAAAAAATATAAACTGAGCAACAAGACATGAGGAGGTACTATGTGGCACACAGAAATCGATATTTAGCTTTATTTTATTTATATTTTCTTTTCAATTAAGGAATTGAAACATACATAATATTAAAATTTGAAATGTAAGCAACATTTTGATGCCAATTTCATTGATATATATAGTAATAATAAAGTTACTTAGTAAAGTTTAGAAAATAAATTGATAAAAGACTTTGACATGTGCAGTTAGACCCACCCGTTGTGAAAGGGTTAATGGTATTTATCGTAGGCTTACCATTTCTCTTGGGTGAAAGTAACTTATCATCATTCACATGTGCTTTGAACATCACATGTGGTACTCATGCAAAGTTCTCTTCTAATCTCGTATGTTAAACTGACACAACCAGTTCGTGTTCCCACATTCACAAGTATCAGCTGCATATCAAATAAATGTAGCTAAATATCGCATATGATGCACAGGACAGGGATTGGGTTAAGTAATTGTTTTATTGTATGGTATTATAATAAGTTTGTCCTATACTAAAATTTAATTCTCATTAAATGCTAGTATTTTTTCAGATGTATCAGTCACTATGTTACACTAGTCTTAACCATACATATTGTAAATAAAACAGTAATTCACAAATTTCAGACTACATTTGCACTTGCTAATTGGCACACGATCTTAGAATTTCATATGGTTATTGCCAAAAAAATGTGAAATGTTTAAATTATTTATTTCACTACTCAATTAATCCTGTTCATTGGCTATACCCTTCTTGCTTGTCACTTAAGCATTCTTTACTCACAATTTTCTAACAAAATAAATATGTGCAAGTATTTAGCTTAAATTTGAATAATAGAGATTTTGTTGATTTCAATAGTTGGTTCAGCCATCAGATGAAAACTGGGATACAGAGAGAAGGAGACAGATTTGGAAATGTGAGAGTCACCGGTCACATACGACCATAGCTAGATATGCACAGTACCAAGCTTCCTCTTTTCAGGAGTCTCTCAGGGTTTGTTAATATTTCATTAAACTTTATTCTAATAGGCTATACTTTTGAACATGTTTTCTATATACGTAAGTATACACACACACACACACACACACACACACACACACACAAACAGACAGATGTACTTTTGATTAAAAATTAAGTTATCCATTACACACCACATACCAATGATGTAAAAAGGAGTTGCAAAGTGGGGGTGGTTGGCTAGACATGCAGATTTTACCATAATATAATTTACAGTTGCTATACGAGTCAAATATGTTCCAACACCTCTTCCACACACAATGGCATTTAAAAATGTTTTCAGTACCATATTGTAGTTGATGAGGAAAGTAGCTGCTTCTTTGAGTAGAAAATATTCATAAGCTATATATTTCTTAAAACAAGTTACAAGCAAAACAATTATTTTGTCATGCTATTATAAAACCATAAAATTCATGTATTTCCTTTTAAAATATGCAGGTTAAAAATAAACAAAAAGCTAGTTACCTCTTTCTATGTTGATATAACATCTGAATAAAATATTTGATACTTATAACTAGTTATATGGCTAGTAAGCATGATAGCATTTATGCATGCCTGTTATAACTAACTGCTTTAAGGGAAAATGTTTGAATAATACCAAGTGTGATTAGGCTCTACTCAATATATAATGATGGCCTTGTTCTTCAACCAAGAATGGTTATATGTCTCAGGTAATTTATTGCTCAAGGCTTCTTATAAATTTCTAAGAGGGCTGATAATTTACTTTGAAGTATTTAGAACTACAGTAAAAAATTACTGTATTTTGCTGTTGATGAAAAATACCTTTCTTTGTTTGGTTCTCATAAAACGTTTCTTATTTCATTAAATTTAGCATTGTTGCTATCTAATTTTCACTAATAACCTTATCAAGAACAATAATATCTAAAGGTTAGCATCTTATATTGCTGAAACTTACTATTTCTTCATGTATTTAACATATCTTTTTTTTTAACTGTTGTATTCAATTATCATTAATAACAAGGCCGTACTTTATATATTTTTATAACAATATTTAAATGAAGAAATGTAATGAATTGTAACTGCTCTTGCCTGAGTTATTAATTAATGTTTTTGATTAAGTTTTACACAGTCTGAAAATAACAATAAAAAAGAGTTACAAAGTGAGTGACTTAAGGGTTGGCAACATTGTACTATACTTGCCAGTCTACTATAAAGTTCTTACTTCTATGACTAGTGTGGCAAACAGTGTGTGAAATAGTTTTAAATATTAAAAGGTTAATCTAAACTTACAATAATGTCATAAAGTGACAAGTTTTTCTGTAATTTGTTATAATTAATTTGTTTTTGAAACTAAAAGTTTCTAGCTTTCAGCAAAGGAACCTCACATGTTAAACAATTTTCTTTAAACCTTCCTAGCTTTAAAAAACAATTAACACTGTACACAAACAAAAAATTAAGAAATTAGTACCAGGAGGTTTGGATTGGCTAATGAGGGTTCAAAACAAATATAATACCCTAACCAAACTCAAAAGACTTAAAATGCTTAAAATTGGTAAGGTTAGGGCCGTTAGATATCTATCGTGGTTATGATTACCTATGTATTAACTTTTTGGCAGCTAATTTGCTGCTATTTTTATGGAAGTCATAAAAAGGAGTGTGATATGGTGATAGGAGCTATGATTTATTCTCGGCTATTTTTGTTAAGGAAGGCTGGTGTGCTTTCCATGCCTTTGAGCTATTGCCTCATTATCTTTGTGACTTGAATTAACTGATCGTTTAAATGTTTTACAATGGGTGTACAAATTCTGCTGGGTTATGCACAGTTGGCTGAGTGTGTTATCAGTTAGTTGGATGTAGAATACTTCTTTTATATTTTTTTCACAGTGTAATTTGTATCTTACTATTTTAGTGCTATTACATTTTATTAATTTGTCATGATAAGCTGAATTCTAACTTCTTTTTTTTGTGAGCCCACATTTACAAGAGATGTTTAACTTGGTGTTTTTATTGCTCTTCATTGAGTCTGTAGTTGGTTTGATGTGCACAAATTGTAATCATATCGTTTTGCAGCTTTTAAAGACTGTTATGTCATAATGCTTTTTTCATGAAGTTTGTGAAATTATTAATTATGTTTGTGTATACTTAAATATAAGATTTTGATGATATCATGGGAGTTTAATAGTACCAGTTTATTGATCCTAAATGGTTTAAATATATATGAACTTGTTACAATAATGGAAGAAACTGAACAGTAAGCTTTTATCTAAGCTTTTAGTTATATAATTCATTGATGTAGACAGTTGAAGTCTTAAGCATTTGTATTTGTATATTATTGAAATTTACAATATAAAAAAATAAATAAAAGGCTAGACTTTTTCCTTAACAAATTTAGTAAAGAACATTGGAGTGCACTAAATTTCATTTATGTATGTGTATCTATTTTATTTTTTTGTAAAACAGGAAGAACAAGAAAAGGTTCAAACTGGTCACAGGGAATCTGACAGTGATTCTAACTCCTCGTATCCATCATGGTGAGCAGCCAGCTGTTTTGTTTTTTAAAGAGATTTCTCTTGATTTATTTAAAAATTTCATTGACATTAGAAGCTTATCATCTCTAAATTTTTGAATATCTGGAAAATATGTCTTTTTAGGGTTAAGAAAGGAAAGAAGAATGGCTTATTTAAGACAATCAAATTTGGAACAAATGTTGACCTCTCAGATGAGAAAAAATGGAAACCACAGCTCCAGGAACTTGCAAAATTGCCATCATTTGCTAGGGTGAGTTGTGTCTTAATTGTAATTCAAGTTTAAACTGTGTTTTGTAAATAGTTGACAAGAGATTAAGTTGTCTTTTTTTTCTTCATTGATACACAAGTGAACACTGTTTCTTTGGAACAGCTGAAATGATAAATATTTTACTGTTTTAACTGTGAGGTTATTGTTTTTGTATCTGTATCAAATAATTTATAAGCTGTTTTTATAGTCACTTTTATCCACATTACTTCATAGAGAAAACTAGATAAATTAAATGTCAAATGCTGAAAAGTATTGTGACTGTAATTAGTCATTGTAATTTTTTTCATTATTTTACTACTATATCAAACTTTTAAGTAACCCTGACTATATTCTCAAATGTACTGAAAGAGATTTATAAATCATATGTACAAAATATGCACATAGATCAGTTTAATTTTTAGTTACTGTCTAAGCTGGTGTAAACAATATTTTTTTAAGTTAGAAAGATTTTACATTTATTTATTATTCTTTTGTCTTATTGAATAAGTAATGAATTCCCACTTGAAATTACAGTGAAGCTTTAACTTGACAGTTACATTTTTTCTACAATTCAAGTACCTATATGTTGATATTCTATTGTGTTTTCTGTGTAGGTTGTATCAGCTGGAAACATGCTGAGCCATGTAGGTCACACGATTTTGGGAATGAACACAGTTCAATTGTACATGAAGGTCCCTGGAAGTCGAACACCAGGCCATCAGGAAAATAATAATTTTTGCTCTGTCAACATTAATATTGGACCAGGTGATTGTGAGTGGTTTGCTGTCCCAGAACCGTACTGGGGGGCCATTCATAACCTGTGTGAAAAGTAAGCTTCATATATTCTTTATTGTGTTGAATATAATTATGTATTATCTATCTTATGTGCATTTATTGTTTATAGAGATAAATAATCAAGAAGTTTTTTCGTCTAGAAGGCCCACTTGTACACTTTTACTGACCTTGCAATCACCAAGTAACCATGAAGTGTTCATGTACTATAACTTTTAATGTAGTTAGTGTATCTTCATGAAACTTGCAAGCTTTTAGTAAGCATTACAAGTTTCCAATACACAAAAAATAGATTTTTTAATTAAGTATTTTTAGAAAAGACTTGTCTGTGAATATATGAAGTTAGTGTCTCTCTGATTAGTCTAAATCAAAGTGATTTTCATCTTAAGGTTAAAAATACTTTTTCATTTTACAGTTTTCAGATTTCATTCGCATAATCTCTAAAACTTTCTAAATGAATATCAAATTTTTTTCCAGTAAAAATTAACTTTTTATCTGTTAATTTTTCTACCCTAACACTATACAGACTAGGTTGTATTGACTGACTTTGTAATAAAACATCTTTCAATAAACTTGTTATTTGTGCTATTATATTTATTAATCATTTTCTCATGAATTGTTTTAATATGCATGTAATTTAGTACTGGACAAAGGCATATATCCTGTTGGTGATTTGCTAATCTTTTTATATTTTTTAATATATATTCTTCCTGTATATCTAGAACTTAACATGGTAAAATATTGTGTAAATTATCTCTCATAATTTTAAAACGAAACTGAACAAATTTTTTGAGGATCATTCCATTGATTATAAACATGTATACTAACCATATTTCTACTTTATATGGAAGAATTATAGTATTTTTTTACTGTGTCATGACAGAATATTGGGAAGAATTAAATGCAGAAACTAAGGAGAGGTTGCATGTGTAGCAGTGTATTGTAATACTGTTGTCTTATTAAATAAGCATATCTTTATGGCAGAAATTATTTTTATCCATATAATTCAACAACACCATCTCTTATGTGGTGTAGTGTGTAGCTAGGAGGCTGTGTTTCAAAAACTTCCATTATTTTATGGAGTATGTATCAAAACATTTATGTGGTGCTTTCATGCAGGTAGTTTTCATGGATTTAACACATAGTTTAGGGTTTTGAACTTAGAAGTGAGAAGCTTGATACGAATCACTTATCACAGCTGTATCTTTCAACTATTTTAATTTTTATTTTCCACTAACATACATATACATATATATATATTTACACGTGTATTTTTTTTAACAGAAACAACATCAACTACCTCCATGGGTCCTGGTGGCCTCTAATGGATGACCTTTTTGCTGAGAATATCCCTTTATATAGGTTTCTGCAGCGACCAGGAGACATGGTGTGGGTCAAAGCCGGAACTGTACACTGGGTGCAAGCGGTGGTGAGCAGTCCAGCTATTTTTGAGCATTACAATGTCACAATCATATTCACTTTTTGTTAATGCTTTGTGGATTTGGTATAACACAATCCAGTAAATTTGTTTGTGGGTGAAATGAAATAATGATACTGATATTGTAATCATTTAAACATTTGTATTTTTGAAACCGGCTCAGATGCTATGACCAATCATATTGATAGTCAGTCCGTTCAGAAGTTGGCACAGTCATATTAGTTTAATGAGAAAAATGTTGAAATGAAAGCTAGCTAACCTAAAGTTATTACCCCGAAAAAGCTTTGGTGACAAGCGAATCTGACAAATTATTATTTTTTTTATACCAGTTTAATTTTTCCTCATGTAGCAGTTGCAAAAACAAGTGAGGAGCATGATATTAGAAAAGAAGAAATAAAATGTGCAGAATTTACTAAAATGTATCATTTTATAATGTCTTTATTATTAGTTTAAATACTTGTGAACTAATAACAATCTTATAATGTGTAGTTTCATAATTTGTCAAGCAAGCAACAGGGATTTTTAGTTGTTATTTAATCTCTGAAGATAATAAAATTGTAGAGAAAATTTCTTCAAAAATAGACTAATAACTAATAAGCTAGAATTCAATTGATTATTTTTGTTGTATTTTTACATGTTTCCGTAAGATGTGTACATTATTAAGTCATGATTTTCTCTCCTCAGTGATAATCGTCTTGTATCTTTTCTTAATTTTTTAAAGCAAAAATTCCAATTGATTAACCAAGAGAGTGAGTCATTACTGCAACAATACTGTTGCTGCCTGATCAAACTGACTAACCTGTAAGCTGAGAATGCAATGTAAAGATATAGAAGTCCTAATCAAATTATTAATTTTCATAATGTGTATTTACAGTCCATAACCTTTTGTGCTTTTACTATTTTTACATTGACTTTTTTTTTCAATAGTTATTATGTTTTATGTACTTTAGGGCTGGTGTAACAATATAGCCTGGAATATTGGCCCTTTGACTGCAGAACAGTATCAGCTAGCTGTAGAAAGATATGAATGGAACAAACTTCAGGGGTATAAGTCAATTGTACCCATGGCTCATCTCACTTGGAACCTGGCAAGGAATATTAAAGTCTCTGACCAAAAACTGTTTGAACAGATTAAGTATGTTTATTTTAATATTAGTCTTTTTAATATTCAAGTTTCATATAGTCAGATAATCCTTAAATTTAATAAGAAAGTTTTCTATCAGAATAGGACCAAAACTGGAAAATAGGTTTGTCTGTGTGATAAAGTTGCATAAATAATTTAGTTTTTAAAAGGCATCATTCAGTGAACACATTTGACTTAAAAAAAACAGTGAAAATAAGATAGTACAAAGATCTAAAAATTTAAAACTCAATCAGCATATTTTTTCTTATATTCCAGATACTGTCTGCTGAGGACCCTTAGGATGAGTCAACTGACAGTAGACTTTGTAAAGAGTTTAGGAAAAAACATTAGATGGCATGGTCGTGGAAAGAATGAAGCTGCTCACTACTGTGTGAATTGTGAAGTAAGTATGAACATGTTTTAATTTTAAACTGGACAGGTTTATTTTATCTGTTTCAGTAGTATTAAAAGTGTACTTTTCATAAGAAAGTAATTCAGTTAGCAAGTGTAATTTACTGTTGTTGGAAATATTTACTTCTGTATTCTTTAAAAATATTTTAATGTGCTTTGGAGCCAGGCGTGGTGTAGTAGTAAGTGTACTCATATTGTGAATCCATAAGTTCATCATTTTGTGCCCTGTGATTGCAAAAACACACTCCACATTATGGGGTTGTGGGTACATCGTAAGAGTGATGGTGAAATCCCATTATTTTAGACAACAGTAGCCCCAAAATTGGCAGTAGCATTGTGTAGCATTGCATAGAACGTCTGAAATAAAACAAAGAATAATGTGCTTCATTAATTAATTATATGTTTATCTAATGTGGGATGATAATATTCATCTTTTATACTGTAGGTTGAAGTCTTCAACATCCTATTTGTCAGAGAAGTGGAAAATAAACATGTTGTTCACTGCTTGGACTGTGCTCGGAAAACCAGCCCCAAACTGGATAATTTTGTAATCTTAGAAGAATATACCATGGAGGATTTGATGGAGGTATATGATAATTATGTCCTCCATCTGGTGAGTTTCTTCTTCTCTTCTAGAAGAGGACTTTATGAAGATGAATGATATTTATATTGGCAGTCTAGGATGATTTACTGTATTGTCTAAATTAGGTTGTTTTTATATTGCTTTTTTAACATTGACATTCTCTTGGGAAAATGACTTGGTACAGGTTTGAAAAGTGATTTTATATATAACTTATGTGGGAAACGTTATGCTAATTGTACATATAAATACATAATAATTTAGTAATTTAATTCAATAAATGCATAAATTTATTGGTTCTTGTTCTTTAGAAAGTAAGTTAATAATGTTATCCCATAATTATTACATCTAGTGTTTTGTTATGTTCTAAGGATATATGATTATTGTATTTAATAATTGTGTGCTTTGGCAACTTCATAAATACCTAAGATTATATAATGATTTACATAATAATTTAGTAATTTAATTCAATAAATGCATAAATTTATTGGTTCTTGTTCTTACATTTAGTGTTTTATTATGTTCTAAGGATATATGATTATTGTATTTAATAATTGTGTGCTTTGGTAACTTCATAAATACCTAATATTATATAATGATTATACCTAATAGCTAAACCCATTGTAGGAAACTTTGATTGTTATGCTTTGGCAAAGATAAATAATATCATTTAATAATTGATACTTTTAATAAATGCTAAGAGTTCCAAAAATTATATAATAGTAACAAATATAGAAGATCAATAGGTCAGCAAATGACATTAAAAAATCTAATAAAACCCTTGTACCTTCACCAGATGGATTTTTCTTTGTTAGGGTAAAAGACCCGAGCCCCACAAATCATTTAGAAGTCCTTGAATTATTGAGGGTGACACAATGATTCTGTTGAATAATCATGTCAAACTGCTGAATGTTGTGTTCCAATCAAACATGTTGCACTATTAATAATAAAAGTTGTTATAAGTTCTCCTTGATAAACATATACATTTTGCGTAGTAGGTAATGTTGTTGTGATTAATAATCATAAACTTTTGATGGTTCTTAAATTATGCTATTTAAGAAAATAGTGTAAATGTTATATGATAAATATTGATGACATTTAAGTAGTCTTTGGGAATCTTGTTTAGGAGAATCCAATTTGATTGTAGTTCTTAGTAATCATATAGTTGTTTAGAGATTGTGTTATTTTTTGAGCAGTATATATTTGATGATTCTTGGCAGAAAATTTCTTGATGGCTTTTTTGTTAATCAGATTATATGTAAATTAGCTAGTTGTGTGATAGATTATGTGATGATTTTCTGTGCCAGTTATATATATGTTTGGTTATTGTATGGGTAGTGTGATTTGATTGGCTTATACTTTTTGTGGTTCTTGTATAGAGAAAGTTGATCTGAAGCTTTGGTAGTCATTTTGTTGTTCTGTCCAATAGGAAATTGGGTGATTTTTTTTTAGCAAATGCTACATTTTCTGACTACCACTATATAAATTATAAAGAAAAATACAATATGCTAATTAAAGATGTAGTCTATTACTCTTACTTTAATAACTGAAAAACACCTTTATTTTGTTTTGTTGTGTTTGTGAAGTGTATCAGTCTTTATGATACTTGTTTTGAGGAACAGAACGTTTCTTTAATAAGTCAGTTGATACCCATTTTGTTGTAAATTCTATATGTTGACTTTTATTTCGAAAAGTGGGTTTTGTAAGTCTATTGTTCTCACTGTGTACTACATTTTATTGAGCTATAATCTCTTATAATCTTATGATTGAAGTGTTTCTTAATTAATTATAACTTCTGATGAAAATGAGGTAACTATATAGACCAGAACTAAATATTAGCTTGGCAAGTAATGTAAAGATACCAAGTACTTCTAATGTGTTAATAATGTGAACAAACAAATATGGTTTTATGACAGAGACAAACTAAAAATGTATCCTATTTGTTGGGTATTTCAAACAAAAAAAATTAGTTATTCACTGATTTGACAGATGTTTCCTTGTAATATTTTAAAACAAAGTTCTTGTTTTATTTAACACTGATTTTTATTTCTTCTTTTCAGTTACCAGCAGTTTCCAGTGGGATGTCGTGATCTCAAGTTGCTTCAGATGTTTCCGATGAAATATACTAAGCTTAAGGAAAAGCATTGTTCTGTATTTGGTAATATAAAAAAAATTCTCTTGTCAGGAATGGTATCCGATATTTTAAATACATGAGTACAACTTGTGTAAGTTAAAATTTGTTAATAAGATGAAAATATTGTATAAAATGTATGTTTTTTGTGAACTTAGCTGGTATGTCTGATCTTTGATTCATGTTAATGACATAACGTTTTGTCATCACTGTTCAACACATACATTTGACATAACAAATGTATGTAAATAAAGAATTCTTAAAAAATAACAAACTGTTTATTTTAATGAATGGGAATAAGAAATATATAAAATATAAATTGTATCATGAAATGTCACTTATAGAACTGAATAGAATAGAAACCAAATTTTTTCTCTTATAAGATGCCATAATGATGTAAAATTGTAAGAATAATGCTTAGAATTCATACTGTTTTAATACAATAAAAGGCATTTAATTGTTAATTAATTTTTCAAACTGAACCAAAGATATATGTTTGCAAAACTTGAATAGCAAATTGTACTGCATTTGATTTAATGAAAAGGTCAAAGATGAGTTTGAAATTCTTGTTCATGTTTCCTTCACGTTAAGTTGAATGTACATCAGTAATAATATAAACAAAAATGTACATGTACCCATTTATATCATATTTCTTTTGTTATGTTTCCAGGCTGTGAGAAAAAGTGTTAATGAAAAAAAAATGAACATATTTGAAACTTGTTACCTCTTTTATTATCACTAAATTGTGACTGATGTATGCTAAAGTGAAGTTATTAAGAGCATCAGATAAAAAGTGTGTAGTGAGAGAGGAATTCTGAGTTTTATTGTCCAATGCTCATAATTAGCTATGCAAATTTTTGTACAGTTGCAGCCTAATAAATACATCTGTGTTATCAGGACTTGAAAACTATATATAGTTGCTGGTTAAATGGTTTAGAATCATTTTTCGCTTTTTTTTTTAATTACATCTCTATATATGTATGTGTGTATGTAAACAGTAAGGCTTTTGTTGTCAACATCTTATAATTTTCACCCAGTACTATTTTCTATGGAGTAGTGATATAAACTGAATATCTATTACTTCATACTAATATTTCATTATGGAGATAAATCCACTATTGGTATTGGGACCAAGTAAATGCCTTGTTCTTCAGTAATAAAGCACTATTCCTCTTATTAGATGTTGTACGTACACAACTAATCATTTAAATTAAATCTTTATTTTAATTCTAAATCTTATTATGCGTTAAGTGTTCAAAATTATAAAGTGCAATGTGAGTAAAAGATTGGATGAGATGGATCACCTGTTTCTTTCTCAATAAGAATTGTTCTCCTATTGTATATTTCACAGATCAACTTTTCTCTTGGATAAGAAAAAAAAGCTCCAGTGGGTGATATGTCATAACAAAACAACTCGTGCCTGTCCTGTTGTACTCAAAACACCATACATTAGCTAGTATTATGACATAATGAAGGTATCTTTCAAGAATTGGAGAACAAAAAATATTATAGTATTAAAAAAGAGTTACTGGATTTTGTTTCTTCAGTTCTTGGATGCCATATTGCAGTGTTTCAGGAGTCAGGCTACCCAAAGTCATTCCTAAGTTTGCATATATTTGATTGTGAACATAAAAATTGGCATGCAAGTTCTAATGTATGTGCAAGTACTCGATCCCATGTAGCTACATTATGTTTGGTAAAGCATATTGAGTTTTTGTCTAGTACCTTAGTAATATTTTACCTGTCATTTAAACTCATCACTGCCAGAACAATCACTCACCAAGTCCTATTCATATTAATAGTTGTTTTTTCATCATGTGGCATGAATTAGTAATTTTTAGATGTTGAATATGCCACTCAGTATTGCATAAGAATTTGCAGGTTTTTATTTTATTTCCTTTTTTTTCACTTGTGTAATGGAATAAAAATGATTGAAAATAAAGTTGTGTTGAAGATGTCCACATAGCTGTGGATAAGAAATGTTTTGTTGATGTTCAGATTTAAGGGCCTCATGATAGCCAGTAAATTGATTGTACTGTACATTGTATGTCAAAGCCAGACCTGACTACAGACCTATTTATACAGAGTTTGTATTTATAAGACAAGCCATCTTACTCAAAAATAAAGAACTGCTGGTCTAAATTTTTCTGTGTTCTCTCTATGTGTGTAATACTATATTCATTAGTTGATGATCATTTAACTGCATCCCACATTTTTATCTCTCTCTACACATATCATAAATAATGCACTGATTTTACACTTAAGTTCTATCTATATATCTCCCTCCTATATAGTTGAAAATGCAGTTAGAAAAACAAAATATTCGATTATTGTATAAATCAAATGATAATTATATTTATGTAATATTGGGATTAAACTTTCAACATAACCTAATTTCATAACCAGCTCATTCAAACAAAGCTGTATTAGGTAACAACATTTGGTTATAATAAATGCATTGCACTGAAGAAAAAAAAAAGTTGATTGATGTAAAGGCAGAGAAACATTGCTAGTTTGTAAGGATTTCAAAGTGAGCATTCAGTTTTGACCACTTTCAGCCATGTGTGTGTAAGTTAGAAGTAATTGGGTCAAAGGATTGCCTTCAGCACAGAAAGAAAAAGAAGTTAGCTTAATCTTAACTAGAACAGTTTGTCATTTGTAGCTACATTATATACATTTTTGTACTAAAAACTAAGCACATTTTTAGTTTCTAATAAACAATAAAAGGGAGGATTGCAAATCTGGTAGCTTTGTAATTTTGAGTTTGAGATATATATTAATTGGGAAGAATATTTTGTCTCAGAAATACCATATGATTTAGTTTCATTACCTATGTTAGATCTTGCGACAACAGGAGATCGGTTTATCTGTATCAGAAAGGTCCAGTAACACAGTACCCATTATTTAAAGACTGCAAGCTTATATTGAGTTTCTTTTTTTTCCAGGAAGAAAATTTCATTAAAGAAGAGAATAAAGATACAGAAACTTGATATTCTGGTCGGTAACCACAAAGATTAATACAACTGCTTTAAACCAGATCTGTAATTAGATTGTTGATCCAAGTTTTTTGTTTTATTGTATACTTTATGTAGTCTTTATCGATTTTAAAGTTAAAGAAAGCATTATTGAATGATGGAGGATAATAAAAGGCTTGTTTTAAAGTTGCATTGCATCGGAAATGACAGGCCATAAATAGAGGTTTCTATTGAACTTGTGGCCAGTTTTTCTCTTTGCACAACCTTGTTATTTGTCATAAATTACTGCCATAATGAATGTATTAGACCATTTTGTTGAAAGAAATTTTCATCACAAAGTAGTATAAATAGATGTTTATCTTACATTTTCTCATTTATATAACTTCTCTGTGTATTTTTAGAAATTATGTACAACTGTTTCATAAATGGTACCTCCTAATCTCTAAGCTCATGTCTGGGTGAAGTTCACTGTAACATCATCAGTCTCAAGCTATCAGTGGGAGATTTTATAAAGTGAAAAATATCTTCTCAAGGTAATTTCTTGAACAAAATAAGTAGGAGAACCAGTAAAATAAATTACTTCATTTATATAGTATGCAACAAACTAAGACCACAACAACAGACTCGCTATGTGGTCTGGAAACTAGTTCGTTAGAAATGGAAGAAATATTACAATAATTTTAAACATATTTAATCAAATGTTTCAGGATTAATGAATTCCTACATAAGCAGTTTGTAAAAATTATATACATTGAAGATGATATACTAAATATACAGTGGATTGAGTTTGATTTATGAAAACTGTTGGGGCTTCATGTTGTTACATTCCATGTTGCCTTGTCCAGTCATGCTCTATCCTATGACTTTGTATCTTTATGGTAGCCTATTGCAAAAAGCTACATCATAAGGACATCATGCCTCTCTGCTGCTGTCTGTTATCCACCTAGGGTATGTGGGTGATATTTTCTTTCCAGTTGCTCACAATTCCATAAGCACTGTCTGGCAACTTGAACAATATGTCTTCTTGTGAAATAGCATGGATACCCATTTCATTCTCCAGATGCTTGAGTTATGCCAACAGTTAAACTGAAAATATGATGCAAAGCCTTTTCTTGGCAAACCAACATTCTGTTGGCCTCATTTTCATGATTATGTTGTGTCCTGTTGCCTGGGGCATGTGGAGGCTTTTGATACTACTCTTTGTACTCATGGATTTTCACCTGTTAAAAGATATCACATTTTGCTTACCATGGCAGAGGCATGATTTGTTGCACATCTCTTTCTGGATGTGCCTGGTGTCCCCAGTTGTTTTCAGATGCAAATTTAAGTACAGTAAAGGGTTTTGAAAAGTGATCAGTTTTCAGTAGCATCACAACCTATGAATGCAAAAAAATGTAAAACTTTGTATTATACATTTCCTTCCACTGCAACTTTATTTTAGATGTGGTTGTCACATCACTTACTGATTTGCCAATTCAAAATTGTTTTCCTGTAAGTACCCAATTCTGTATAAAAGCATGTTCTTTTTTCCATACAAATTGGAAGTGTATTAAGTACAACAAAAACAGAAAAGTAATGAAGTATAACTAAGTTATATATTTAAAGGATTTATAGCTTTTAACCATTTTTGCTTTTCTGTTGGTATACACAGTGAAAAGCAACCACTATTTATAAGTTCAAATTATGACCTCAAGTTCATCCAACAATGAATTGCTCATCCAAGAAAATACTGATACTAATAGAGTACCAAAAAGAGCAACAACTTTAGTATTTCTTTCCAATTCTTGGTTACAAGGACATTGAACATCCTCTGTGTCCTCTCTTCTACATCTTGTGGAGAAAACAGATGTCTGTGCTACAAATTTATTGTTTCCTCATTGTATCCATACTGGACTGTATGCCTCAGCCAGAGAATCTGCTTTGTGTATGTTAAAGCTTGTGATACATCAGGGGCTAAGGCTCAACAAAAGGTCTTTCTGCACTTCTCCAATCCCAAATGTGCACACAGAATCCTATGGGCCTCCACAATTAAAATTTGCAAACTTTCTTTGCAGTATGTTACAAAACGTAATATCCCATGTATCATTCTACCTCATAGTGTGTTTCATGCATTAGATGTAACTTGAAAATATATAGTCTCCTATTTCTGTTTTTAACTTTCATGTCCAAGCAAAGTTGCATGAAAGAGGCTTGGTATTGGATACAGGTGCTAAGTGTGATGAGTGGCCTGTCTTTCCTTGGCATGTTATCATCCTCCTCCATCATGATCTTTTGCTGAGTTACTAGAAGAATTAGGATTCTTCTGCTTGGCATTATCAACCTATTTTTCCATGAACCCCTTTTAAAACAATCTTCTGTTACAGTTTTTATTGATGACCTGATCAGATGGCTGTATAGATTCTGCCATGGTTTGCAGTTATATTGCTGTTGCTCACTTAATCCTATCTTTAGCTTTTGTATTCACGTTGGAGTTGTATGCAATCTCACTTAGTCTGGATCACATAGAAGCTAAGCAATACCATCACTCTACTATTTAGACAGATTTGCTTAGCTAATAAAAAGCCTTGAAATCAATTAATGTTAACTTTGAGAGAAAAATGACAAACTGGCCAATTTAGCTCTATCATATAGACTTGCACACTTTTTATGAGTAATTAAAAATTTTGCTTTTTTCACGTGTGTATGTTCCTCTCATTTCTTGTTCATTCCTATTCTCTGCATAACATTTTTTGTGTTTTTTGTTTTTTTAAACTCTCCTGCTAGATATTACTTGGACCTGGATACCACAGCAACAATGAGAAGTTTGTACTTGGTAGAACTGGTTTATGATTTGTTGCAAATGGAATGAAAGAAACAAGACTCAATCTGAAGATAAACAAAAAAAATGCTCTCATGATTCACATTTTATCTGTAGCTGACCAATCATGAATATCTATAGAGTAAAAAATGTGACATCAGCACGAATACATACATACATACACACACACACATATATATATATATATATATATATACAAACAATATTTTTAAATAAAATACAGTACTAATAAAACTAACATGAAAAAATATTTATCAAGAAGCATGAAATAGAAGGAAGCATATAATGTAGGGGAATACTTATCTATTGATTACAAGATATGTTTTATTGGAAAACTAAATATGTTAAAATAGTGTTATTTTAATCAAATAGACTCAAACTGTAAAGTAACAAAATCAAAATGCAATTCAAATGAGAACACAGAAAAAGAAAACTATATCTAAAATGAAACTTTACAAAATATAGATATTTACATGTAGGTGGTTATTTTTTTGTTTTGTCATGCAGATCATCCACGATATCTACCATATGATGTCTCTAGCCAGACCAGCTTATTCTGGGCAGTAGCTAGCACTTCTTTGGCCTGGCAAAAAAATTTTTAATGCCTGAAAATTTCATTGATATTTCTCCCAATGTCAAATTTCCTCACAATGGTTGGATGTCCAGGTAGTCATCTACTTGGCTTTTGGGTCCAGAAGGCAGGCATCACTGCTTTAGAATCTTGGTGCAAGTTTGGCCCTAGCCTTCCAATAAGAGATTATGAGGTAATTCTTTACAGATGTAATTACTGTTGAACTCCTAGTAAACAAAGTTGCACTTGATTTTGGGTTTTCATCGCTAGTTTTGCTTTTATACTAGGGAGCTTGTTAGTTGTATATTCACTCGGCGGCTCTGGATTGTCAAGATTGTTGTATGCAGGCAGACTATGTGTTTTCTACCTACTTATTTCAGTATGGAAATTTTCACAATTTTTAGTTTATTCTGAATCTATGCAGTTTTTGCATAAACACATGATCCATAAAACTGTTATGTTGACTTTGTTCTAGCTGCCTTTGTTTCTTTGTTGTTTTCTAGACATAATATCTGCTCTGCCAGTGGAAAATATTGCTGTAATTCTGCACATTGTGCAAGATGGTCACTGACATCAGTGTCGTTTACTTGTAAGACAGATGATATCTAGAGGTTATGGTCCCCTTTATGTTGAATTATAATGACCATTAATGTGGGTAGCTAGTCACTATGGGTAAATACAATGTTTCCTGTTAAGTAAGTAATCTAGAGTGAGTCAGCTGATAGGAAAACATCTTGAGGGAAAAAGCCAGTTGATCAACTCATGAGTTCAGTATCAGTATG